AACTAACTCAATGCACTACACAAATGAATATATATTAGTATTTGATGAATTTTATTCTAAACGATCTAGAGATAATGGAAAGTGTGCAAGTTGCAATAGATGTAATACATTTTTAGCTTGGTGTCAAACATGTGACCCTCAAAAGACAATGCAAAGATGGACAAGTAGAAATAAGGATATTGATAATTGTATTAAAAATCAACTTACAGCTACAACTTACGAAAGTGCATGCGAATGGATTCCTTTTAATAGATTAGTCAATATTCAAAATATTGTTGACAAAGTCTTAGCAACCTGGTTAGATAGAATACGGCATATAGATTATGATTATGGAGTATGAACACGATCACGTATACAATCTTATAAAGTGGAGCTTAAAACATTAACCAGATCTCACAATTAGATACATTAGATAAAGTAAGTAAAAATATTTGATTAAAAATGACATTACACAATATATATAACTTTATGTTAAATATTTGATAAGTTTACTGAATATGTACAGTTAAAGAATAATGGGTTAAAATATATGGACTAACTCAAAGCATATAAAAAATGAACATATGTTAGTGTTTGAGGATTTGTTTTAAAAGAGATGAAGATTATGGAGAATGTATAAATTGCAATCGATATAATACATTTGAAGCTCGGTGACCCTCAGAAGATAATGCGCAGATGGACAAGTGGAAATAAGGATATTGATGATTATATTAAAGAATTTTAACTTAAAACTATAAAATATAAAGATGTAATTGAATGGATTCCTTTTAATAGACTATTTAATATTCAAAATGTTGGTGATAAACTTTTAGCAACCTTGTTAGATAGAGCACGAATCACTTCAGGTGAATCCAAACAATTACAGTCACATTTGCTAGTATACAAAGTGGAGCTTAAAATATTATCTAGATTACAAAATTCATTAGAAATGTTAGATGAAGTTAGAAGATTTAATAATTAATAATATTGATGTATATAATTTATATTAATTCATATTTTTAAATATTTAATAAAGTTTATAGAATATGTACATTTAAATAATAATGAGCTTAAAGTATACGAACTAACTCAATGCATTACACAAATGAATATATGTTAGTATTTGATGAATTTTATTCTAAAAGATCTAGAGATAATGGAAAGTATGCAAGTTGCAACAGATGTAATACATTTTTAGCTTGGTGTCAAATATAAGACAATGCAAGGACGGACAAGTGGAAATAAGAATATTGATAATTGTATTAAAAATCAACTTATAGCTACAACTTATGAAAGTGCATGCGAATGGATTTCTTTTAATAGATTAGTCAATATTCAAAATATTGTTGACAAAGTCTTAGCAACCTGGTTAGATGGAATACGGCATATAGATTATGATTATGAAGTATGAATACGGTCATATATACAACCTTATAAAGTGAAGCTTAAAACATTAACCAGATCTCACAATTAGATACGTTAGATAAAGTAAGTAAAAATATTTGATTAAAAATGACATTACACAATATATATAACTTTATGTTAAATATTTGATAAGTTTACTGAATATGTACAGTTAAAGAATAATGGGTTAAAATATATAGACTAACTCAAAGCACTATAAAAAATGAGCATATGTTAGTGTTTGAGGATTTTGTTTTAAAAGAGATGAAGATTATGGAGAATGTACAAATTGCAATCGATATAATACATCTGAAGCTTGGTGACCCTCAGAAGATAATGTGCGGGTGGACAAGTGGAAATAAGGATATTGATGATTGCATTAAAGAATTTCAACTTAAAACTATAAAATATAAAGATGTAATTGAATGAATTCTTTTTAATAAATTAGATATTCAAAATATTGGTTATTTATTTTTAGCAACCTGGTTAGATGGTTGATGATGAATGTACATGTAGATATACACCGCCATGCACAATTACACTTAAAATATTGACTAGTTCACAAAATATTTTAAAAGAAGTGAGTTTATATTATTTTACTATATTCTTCACTATAACTAGAAAAAAATACTATGATTAATTGGGCTGGAGTGGAGAGGAGTGGAGTGGAAGACCTTTGAGCCATACTCATAGAGATTTTGCCGATGTCCGGCTCCTGTCCCTGTAAATGAGATTGGTTTAAACAATCATGTCCACTGTAAAAATTTAATTTATCAGAAATTCAATCATTAAAAAAATCTAAAAAAATAATAAATAAAACAGACAACTGACAATTGACAATTAACAAAAATAATAACAAAAGTAATTATATAATAATTTATTGTAACGATGCAAAGCATAAAGAATTTATACGCCTGAACAAAAAGTCACAAGAAATGGTGCTAGAAGAAAAAGGTCAGCCGGAACAGTTAAAGTTAAGTTATCAAAATAATGAATCAATAAAAAGCAAGCAAAATAATGAAAAAAAAATACAAAATTGTGACGAACATAATATTTATTTACACTTGGCAGAATCTTAAATTATAAAAATATATAGTTAGCTAACTTGTTTTTTTTAGAAAATCAAAAATATCTTGCTATTACCATTTGCATGCCAGCTTTCTAATTATGATAAAAGTTTTTTTTAAAGTAATTTCGCAATGCTGTTTCTGTACTTAAATTCAATTTCTGCCTAATTATAAAGAGAATTTTCTACAACTGTATTTGGACAAATTGCGAATTGATAAATGGTGCAATGGGAACAACTGCCGATATTATATATAAACTTGGAAAGACGCTGTGTACATTAATGCTGTTCAGAATAGATAATTATATTAGGTCCAACACTAAACACGTTAAATAGTTCAGGAGTGGTGCTAATTCGCCCAATTAGGTATGCATGGAATTACGATTCACAAATCGCAAGGTTAATATTGTCACGAACTGTATTTGACATTTTGCAATAAGGAATATTCTATAGGTTTACATTTGTAGCTGTATCAAGGTCCGTGCTCTACCCATCTACTTTTCAATAGTATTTCTTATAAAAGATTACAAATTGAGGGAAGTACATGATTACCGTATCCTATCGTAAATAAGCACCACACCTTCTACCCCACTTTTTTAAATATCAGATTAGCGGGAATTATTTGGCTAAAGACTTCATAACGATTTCCGTTAATCTGACATTTAAAAAATGGGGTAGAGGGTGTGGTGCTTATTCACGATAGGATACGGTATAACAAAGATTAGCGAAGAGCAGAGATTACTCTCTTTATAAATTATTAAATTGAAGTATTTCTTCTCACATTAATATAACCTTATAAAATATGCTATTTAGAAAAATTAACGTATATTCTAATATCCAATAATAGTGCTACTGTGAAAATTTTATTTTGAAATTTAAGCACCTAACAAGGAAGGCTCCAGCCCTATAAAACGTCGCCGTTTTATTACTAGTTTTATAATAAAATTGGCTGCGTGATCATTTTTCTTACTATTGATACGTATCCTTACGGGGGGGCATGTCCGCTGATCGATATGACAAATGCATCAAAAAAAATATTTGTGAACTTATGGTACGATTTTTGACGCCACTTACAAATTTGGACGTCTAAGCGCTACAATCACATTTGAATATCACATTCGGAGATCTTCATAGTATTTTTTCCTAATAAGGAGATTGAGGTTTTTAGAGTTCTCGCACCGTACGTACGTACGTACAGTAAATGATATTATGCTCGTGTCTTTTTAACATGAAACTTCTGAAACAATTGTAAGTAATCATTCTATATGCTCATGTGTTTATGCTGGATTTAACCTAAAAACCTGTTCAATAGTCGTAATTTAACGTTAACCATCATTTAATAATGAAACATTCATACTTCGTATATATGGCTAGGCGGATTATCGGGCCTATTACCGATATACTGTATATCGATAATCTAATATGCTATTGGAATATGCAAAGGCATAAGATGATTATACTCCATTTTCGCTAAACATTTTGCAGTAATCCAAAGAATGTTCATCTTTGAAACAAGTTCTTCGACCATTATTCTGTAAATCTTCTAAATTGTCATGATGTGAAAAAAGATTATCTACATCGGTGAGCTCCGAATTCTCCTTATTAAGGGCTCTCTATCGACACAGGATCATTTGTCGCTTACCTCTTTAGGCTCAACGGAAATCTCTTACGTACATTTCATATACATACCTACGTACGTACGTACCTACTTATATCTTAATGCAATTTATTTGATTGTCAAAGATATTCCATGATCTTTTTAAGAAAAAAGAAAAATTATAATAAACATATTTTCAAAAAAAAAAAAAAAAGTATTTGCACTATTAGTCGACTGATGAGACAACTAGAAAGACTAATTTAGTAATGATTTGATGATTGCTTGATTTGTCTTTATGTCCTTTTTTTTAACATCAATTAATCAATTTAATGCCTTATTATTATCGTTATTTGTTATTATTATTGTTATTTGACAGTTTGGCAGCACTGGTTTGCCTGAATCATATGAATTCTGCATTCGAGGTGGTATCTGGTCATAAGACAATCGACTTGCATGAACTGACAGCTTTTTTTTTTAAAACTATTATAAAAAGGTGAGAAAACCCCCGTATCGGTATCTTACTTTCCTTCTACCGTCTTGTCAAAAAATAAAAAAAAATAACGGTTGGTTAAATGATTAAAAAATTCTTATTACATTCTCTTTTTTTTTTTTTTAATGTTATTAGATAAAAGATAATGGCATGCACCCTGTTGTTTTAATATTCGGGCTTGGGTAGAGTTAGGGCTATTGTTCTATGTGGCCTGGTCCTCCGATTTTAGAGAACACAATTTCCATCAACAATTAATAATTTTTAATTGATATATCGATATCATTATCAATTATTAAAAGTAAAATTAAGGCAGTCGTGATCGTGATTACGTATTAGTGTAACATATACGGTCTATAGATGTGGGTTGCATTATTATTGTTACTGTATCGGATTATTTGTTTTAACATTTCAATTCTTCTCTCTCTTCTTTTCAATAAACCGGGCACAGACTCTCAAAAAAAATAAAGCTTGCATCGATTACTTTATCCAATATTCGTCATGGTGACTGTTTTTAAAACAAAATGCTGTTACGAGTTCCTTTTATCGAATGTTTCTAAGATTAATACAACGGTGTATAGCCCTCCGTTCGGAACGTCTCACGACATGTTTTGGCAACTCGAGTTCATACCAGTATGTTCAATTAACTATCTTTACAAATTTAAAGATACTCTTGATCTTTTATGCTTTAATTGGATGTGTCTGCCTTTTTTTTATCTATTCTCCTATTATATATTCTCAATTACTAATTTTTTTTTTGTTTTTACCCTTTTTTCTTGGTTCGAACGAATTCTTTTGTTTTGTTTTTTTTTTTAGTCTTCCGTTGAAGAACCTGACCATTGTGCCGCCTTCCTTTTTGCAATTCCCAATCATGATGAGGCAAATTGTTCCGGTGTATGGTCAAGGAGGAGTGTACTAACCGCAAAAATATATTTAAAAAATGCCAAAAATCAGACTTTCCTTAAAAAACAATCCGTCAAAATGAATTCATTTTCTGCAAAATTATCTGGTTGGGGTATGCATTTTTAATTTTTTATTTATACTATGCATCATATTTTAAGTTCTCGTTTATTTTCTAATTAATTATATTTCTCGTCATTTAATTGTTTCAATTGTTTTAAAGGTTGGGAGGCTTTCTATAATAAATCTAGTTTACCTGAGCACGTTCTCTTTGGTGTAGAGTTTGACCGTGCTGAAATGGGTCTAGTTTCTCAAAAATGGCCACTTCCAAGCAATCAACAATTAAGCGAGTCAATCCCTCAAGACTTGGTGAAAGCATGGGAAGGTCAATTAAACAATCCCGCAACCTCTGATTGTCAATTTAATGTTCAAGGTCAAATAATTTATGCTAATTCTGCAATACTTTGCGCGAGGTCTAAATATTTTGAACTTGTATTTCGAGGTCAATGGCTAGAATCTGATATTACTAAACAAGAAATTTTACAATCATCTACCAAAGATCAAAAAGATTATAATAATAATAGTGTTATTTCACAAAGATGTAATCATGTCATTGATGTTACAGATTTTCATCATCAAACATTTCTGGAAATGTTACGCTTCTTATACACCAATAAGGTGACTTTTGTTGAGAAAAAAGATGAACAAAATTCACAACTCACTCCTTTGGATCTTTTCCGGATTGCTGACAAATATCTTATCGATGATTTGCGTCAGCATGCTAAGTCGGAGATATTCAAAGATTTAAATGTTAACGATGCTGCTGAATTCCTTTTTGGTACTGCCTGGAAGTATCCTGAATTGAAAGAGCAAGCAATGAAATATGTAGTTCTTAATTTCGTTACCGTTAGACAGACAAGTGGCTTCAAAAATATTTTGGCTGATCCTTCAAGTTATCCTGCATACACTGATTTATTGAATGAAATTTTGGCAGAATTATTTCCTGCAACTGGGAGTGTGAATACTGGAAAACCAGCCAAAGAAGAAAACGCCTAAATAATAAAATTACTTAAAACATTCGATTATACATAGAATATTTATTTCTCGTTTTAATTCTATTTGTAAATTCAATTACGTATTTTAGTTGGTCTTCCTTTTTTTTTTGGAAAGTGGAAATTTTAGAATTCATTTTGTACATAGTACAATCGCTTTTTTTTTTTTTGTCTCTTTTTTTTTTTTTTATTATCGTAATCACTGATACTTTTTTTTCTGATCTGGTGTAACATCTTAATTTTTTAGTAAAATTGTACAAATTAATGTAATATGTACTGTATAAATATATAAGCAGTTATAAAGAGAATTTAATAAATAAAAAAAACCCCCCTTTATAGACGTTTAAAATCGGTTTGGCTGTAAATTGCACACATGAATTACTGATAAAAGAATTATTTACATTTTCCTATTGAATTTAAAATTATTAAAATTCCTTCCCCACCATATAAAGTAAAGTAGGATATTGTGGCGGAATACGTATGTAAGAATTTTTATTTTGGGCCCTCATACGTAATTATTTTCATTTTTTGTAAATTTCCCTAAAAAAACGGCAGTTTACTTATTTGTGCGGGTAATACAAACCAAAAAAGGAAATCGAATTTTGTCCATTATACGCAAAATTCGTTTCCAACATTTTTGAATTTAACTAAACGCACCTATGGTGTTTTACACCTATGTATACATTATCTCTAAAATTGCTAATTAATCGGTGTGAGGTATTCTAA